TAAATTGATTAGGTACTACGAACTAACTCGAAAACTTTATGGACTTAATGCAAAATTAATTAATTAGACTTTTTAACTAATCAATTTCATTTATTAAATTTGGAGTTAGAACCCTTGACAAGTGGTGTATTTATATATATTTATTTATTAATTAAATTTTTTAATTAATCAATTTCCATGAGAGTTGAACATATATTATACGTTGTTTAAACTTTTTAATTAAAAATGTAATATATGACCACTTGTCTTTATATAAATTAATTAATCAATTTTCATTTATTAAAAATTATATATATATATTTTCATTGAAAAAAAAATAGAAGATATTCGAGAAGATATTAATAGTAAAAAAGATTTTAAAGAGAGTTTGAAGATATTAATATTTTTAAATGTGTTATTGACTGTTTTAATTTTTTAAATTTTAAAAAAATTTAAAAGTATTATTGAAAATAACAAAAACTATAATTTTAAAAGAATATTTAAACAAAAAATTAAGATTATAATTTAGATAAATTGGAAAGTTCACCGAATTTTATTTATTTATGTATTAATTGAAGTAAATAAAAACTAATTTCATTAAGATAAAAGGAAAACAAACAAGGGTGAAATGATGACTTTAACAATATATAATTATAGAATTGGGTTGAAAAAACTGCTAAAATCTGCCAAAAAGTTCGGGTAGAAAACGAAGGGTGTGCTGAGTTGGACAACCATGTTGCTCAAAATGCTGCCACGTGTATTACCTTTTTTCATTGAAATCCGCCATCCATTGCCACCTCGACATCTTATCCTTCAAATTGGATATCCATTCCCCTCTTCCTCTTCCAACGAACACGCCGAAAAAACCTCCATGGAAAATGGAGAGAAGAAACGCTCAACGGGTTACGGCAGGCCGCCATGGACATTCAGAGGAAGGTTCTTGAAGAGCTCCGTTTACTTTTTTGTCTTCATTGCTTTCCATTTCTCTGATTTGACACTCCCCATTGTTCAGGGCTCTGTATCAACTGCATCTTGTTAAGGCTAAAACTGCTCGAAAGTGTATTCCAAAGGAGTTGAGACTCGTTGAAGTATTTGGGTATTGTTTAATCACTAAGATTAGTTTAATCTCTGTGGATTTATACTGATTAATGGGTTTTTTTTGGTTCAATGCATATTTAAAAGGGTTGTTGTTGTTATTGCTCTGTTTCTGCCTCTCCAGTTATACTCTTGGTGGGTTTTTTCTTGCCAACTATGATGATAGTCCAGCAGGAAGTTTTGATGAGGTCTGGATTTTGGCTCCCTTTTTTTTTTTTTTTTTTTTTTTTTTTTTTTTTTTGTCTTTGAAGCTAAGCAATGAAGATTTGGTGCTGACCCCATGTTTTGGTTTTGGTTTTTGGTTGATTTTGATATGGCAGCTTGTGGTAATTGCTGGAATTGTTTGGAATCGTCCAACATCCTGCGCGTATGCTTTTTTTTCTATTACCCTTTTTGAAAGAGATGGCTAGATTGTTGAGGCTTACCTGGTTTTGTTTTTCTGAAAGCAGATGGGCAGCTAAGGTTCTAGTGAACAGTGATGAAGCTTGTGATCATGGACGAAAGGTATGGGATTTGAAGGATGGTTTTTGATTTCTGAGGCTTGATTTGTATGGTTATTTGTGAACTTGTTTGAAGCCTATGAATCTGTGTTGTAGGTCTCTTCTATGACTGAATTTTCTCTTCTTCTCATATTTTAACATTCTTTACCCTTATAGAACGAATGGAGGGCATATATCAGAGCCCATTAGATAGGGTACTTATAATGTATTACTTATAATGTATTGCTTCACCCAAGACGCTCCTTTTCTCACTGTTCCAAAATAGTACATCTCGTACGTGAGATCTCACATTGGTTGGGAAGGAGAATGAAACATTTTTTATAAGAGTGTGGAAACCTCTCCCTAGCAAACATGTTTTAAAACTTTGAGGAGAAGTCCAGAAGGGATAGCCCAAAGAGTACAATATCCGGTAGCAGTGGACTTGGTTGTTACAATGGTATTAGAACTTGACACCGAGTGATGTGCTAGCGAGGAAGTTGAGCCCTGAAGGTGGCGTGGACAATAGGTGGTGTGCTAGTGAGGAAGGCCGAGTCCCGAAGGGGGTGGACACCGAGCGATGTAGCAGCGAGGAGGCTGAGCCCCAAAAAGGGGTGGACATCATGCGGTGTGCTAGCAAGGACGCTGAAACTCGAATGAGGTGAATTAAGGGGTCCCACATCGATTGGAGAGAGAACGAGTGTCAGCAAGGACGCTAGGCCTTGAAGGGGGATGGATTGTGAGATCCCACATCGGTTGGGGAAGAGAACGAAACATTTTTTACAAGGGTGTGAAAACGTCTTTTTAGTAGACGCATTTTAAAACCTTGAAGGGAAAGTCTGAGGAGGACAAGATCTGCAAGCAGCTATTAGATTTAGGTGATATGTGAAATTGAGTACCCATTAGAATGACTAAGTGTTTTTAAGCCATTAGTCATTCCACACAGGACCTTAATTGTCTTAGTTCTAACTTTCCAAGGTGGGATCTAACTGATAACCCAGCCCCTAGAAGAGGATTTTAATAGCCAAGCGCTGGGCAACTATTGAAGCTATATATAGGTGTTTTAAAGGGCGTGTGAAACTTGGTTAAGCAGTCCAGCACCATCAGCACAGTGTCCTTTTTCTTTCATTTAGGTCTTCCTTCAATGAAATTCAATCCATTCCCTCTTGGAGTTTGAGTGTCCTATCAGTTTAGAATCCATTTTGATCTTTGGTAATGGATGATGTTTCAATTGCATTCTCTCTCTCTTGCAGGAAGTGGGGCTTCCAAGTCAGGTTGCAAGGTTTACAAAAGTAAGCTACATTTCTGTATCTTATGGTTTTTCAATATGGAATTCATGGATACATGTTTGTTCAATGTTATCATCCGACCTCTAAATGATATTCTTGTGTTAAAAAGCACTGCAACAGCCAATCCAAACGATGTTTTGAGCAATATTGACTCGTAATGTATTGAATGGAAATGGTTTCTATCATGAAAACAGAGGATCGAGGCAGTTCCGAAGCATCGGAGTGAAAGAGGACTTCTCAACTCCTTTCGTGGAAGTAGTGATTTCTGCAACCAGAAGAATCAGGAGCATGTTCAAGTGACTGAAGTGAAGAATCCTACTTCAATAGATGTCTGCAATATCAACCTTTCAATTTCTGGTGAGCTGCTAATTATGGAATCAATATTGCCTTATACTTCTTTTGAAAGAGAAAAATGGTCATGCTCATCTCATCCACATCCGGTATGTTCGTTTTGGAAACACATCTTCCTATTCCATCTTTTCTCGAACCTGCTAGGCCCGGGAATGGCCGCTATGCTACTCTACTGCGACCTGAATTTGATTCCGATGGATGGCATAGAAGCGACCTTCTAGATTAGAAACATGACCTCTAAGACCCGATCCTGTGTTGATCGAAGAGCGGTAGTACGAAGGGGGAATTGACCCAAAAATTGGATAGGGGTCAAGATGCAATCAGGCGTTAGCAGCTGACTCAAGTGCCCCCCGAACCGCGTGAAATGGTCACCTATTACACGGCTCACTAACTTTGTTTGGGGTGGGGTACCTATGGTTGAGGATTGTTGTGAGGGAGTTGGCTAATTTAGGGAACAATCATGAGTTTATAAGTAAGGAATACATCTCCATTGATATGAGACCTCTTGGTATCAGAGTCATGCCCATAACTTAGCCATGTCAATAGAATCATTAAATGTCGAACAAAAAAGTTGTGAGCCTCAAAGGTGTAGTCAAAAGTGACTCAAGTGTCGAACAAAGGGTGTACTTTGTTCGAGGACTCTAGAGAAGGAGTTGAGCCTTGATTAAGGGGAAGCGGTTTGAGAGATCCAAAGGCATCAAGGGAGACTCTATAGTGTACTTTGTTTGAGAGGAGGATTGTTGAAAGGGAGTTAGCTAATTTAGGGAAGATTATGAATTTATAAGTAAAGAATACATCTCCATTAGTATAAGGCATTTTGGGGAAGCCCAAAACAAATTCATAAGAGCTTATGCTCAAATGTACAAGATCATACCACTGTGGAGATATGTGATCCCTAACACCTATTATTTGTCGGCATTGTTTTATTCTTCTTTTGAAAGAGAAAAATAGTACTGCTCATCTCATCCACGGTTCACCAATGCCATCATATCTTTGATGTGTTCCTAACATTTCTCCTGCATTGACTTCATGTTCTTATCATCTGATGGAGACATTCATGGGGTCGGAAACTTTCCACAAAATGATTCTACTAGCTTAACTCTCTGTCCCCCAACTATATACTTCTTTCGACCAACTAGTAGCATCGGCCCCACTGCGGACACGTTCATGCGTACGGGTGGACTGTTGAGTCTTTCTCAGTCGTTTATGAACTTTTCTTTTCCTGGTTCCAATATTCAAGGAGTAGTGACTTAACTCTTACTTGGATTGTTCTGTTCAAATAGAATGTCCCTTATGTTTCTGATAACAAGCTGATGTTGGCAGTTCCTTTAAGCAAATGGATGGGACCAGCTATCAGAATGTCTCTCCCAAGTTACAGGTAAACTATCTACCAGTTTACAAATGTTTGTGTTTGCCAAATTCACACTTCAAGGCTTACGACAGTTCCATTGTTCTAAAATATCAGTGGGCACACAGAAAATACTCCTGAACTACTCAAATATTCCTGCCAAATTCAATGCCGGTTTGTGTTCCTGTCTTCTGATGTTTAACTATTTGGTTTGTTTGGTGGTGGGTTTATTTGAATTCGAGCACTTGAATATCATTTTCATTTAGGGTGCGAGCAGTAAAGCCAGCAGCGGTCACAATCGAACGAGCTGGAGAAGATGAACAACATGAACATGAACAAAGCCTCAGCACAACTGTACTGTTGTCTAAGCCCATCCTGGCTTTAGAGTTTAGCTGCATGGAAATGCAAGTCCAAGCTCCCACTGTTGTTTCTCAATATTTTAAACACTCTCTTAGAACACCATGAACGAACACATTCCATCCCATTCTATTCACAGTTCAAATATTTTGAAAATTCTTTGGCAGAACTCTCTTCTCCCAAAGTTTCAACAGATTCTCATTTTGTCTGAACTGAGCTTTCACAATAAGATGACTTCTAAGATGTAGAATTTACAAAATTCATGAAAGATGACAAAAAGAGCTCTGTTCCCCCCTCTTTTTTCATATAATTTTCTCCTTTTTACTGATGACCTTTACAAAAACCTTCCATTCCACAGCTTTGTTGATGACAATGAAGGATAAACATGGGAAAGAAATCTTTACTCTCAGATTATTAGGGTTTAGCAATCAAACTCCGTTCTCTCAATCACAAACTCGGCCCGACTTATCGATCAGAAAGCTTCAGGAAGAGGCTGACTTTGTAAAAATGACTTAAACAACACCAGTGATCTTTCAGGTTGTGAAAATGGTGCTTCATGTGATGCCCCTCTGATTGTGGCAAAGGAAAGAATATTGCCGTAAACTTGAGTCCACCCGCCAACCTGAAGAGCAAAAACCATCCAAATTTTAGTGTCAAACCCAACAAGAGATTTTTGTGAAACAATTTCTGGGGTTGATAGGCATCAATCAAGATGTACCTGCTGTCCCTCGAACCAGACACGGTAAGGTACGGTTGTTTCTAGACCCAACTCTTTTGCAAGTTTGTGAACAAGAGTTCTACTTCCTGTGAGTGGAATGACGGAATCTTGATCTCCACTGCAAATTCAAGATTGATGTAATCAGTTTAAACAGCTTTAGGATTGAAGAGTGTTGTGATGTGAACTCAATAGGCGTTTCACTTACCTATAGACCAACACTTGAATTCCTGCTTTGACCAGTTTCCCCACGATGTTAATAGTCGGTATCTCTAGGTCCAGCAGTTTGTAATCCAGAACGCTATCAATAGCAAAAGAAAACTGTCAATCTGACAGAACATCAAGCTTTTCGGCTTTGAATATTGCTAGTAGTATGAAGAAGTTTGTACCTGCTGCAAACAGCCCATTGTCGCACTCCCACGAGGCGCGCACGAAGAGCCTTGTGGACATCTTGCCTATTGAGATAGTTAACTGTTTCGTCCTCCACGCAGACATCAACGGACTCGGTTACTTGCTACACAGGATATAAAGAAATTGGAGTTGAAGAATTGTGAGATTCTGAGATTCTGAGAAAGGGAATGAGAAGTGAATTAACTGGTTCACTACTCACTTGAGGGTTGAGGATTTTGGACTGAGAGAACACAGACGATATGCATACATCAAGAGTAACGTCATACTTGTCAACAAATCTACTGGTTTCTTTGCTCACTTGGCTCATCACCCTTGAGCAAATGGGTGAAACAGACCCCCTGTAGTACTCACCTACATACCGAGAGTAGTTGCACATTGATGTGAACATTTTAAACGTCGAATCCGATATTAATCCGTGGGACCAAAGAAACTCAGCCCTCGAGTTGAAGTCAGTAGCAAAATCTAGAACGGGATTTCCAATCTGCAAATGAAGTGATTTTAGAAAAGATTTTAGAACAGAGCTCATGTATTTGAGCTCATTTGATATCAATAGTGTTTGAATTCTCTTTTACTCACAGCAATGCCTCTGAGGTTGAATGAGGTTTTGTTAGATTGGAGCATGAGCTCAGCCAGTTGGGGCACATAATGACCTACAAAAAATCAAGAAAGTGCTTATGGGTCTGCTTTTTTTTCTTTCTTTTATATCCATGGAAGGTGTAATCTTGAGAAATGGTACCATACCAGCATAGCTTTCTCCTGTAATGAACAAGCTTCTGTTTCTGTAATGTGGGAATCTGACAAACCACTTCTCCAAGAACTCCAGATTGTCCCTTGCTGCAGATATATCAAACATAAACATCACCCCTCCGCCACTTAGAGACAAAAATATATTAAAGAAAGGTAGCTTTTCTCCTTTTTCTTTTAAAGAAACATTACAAATCCCACCTCCCACTAGCCTTAAACTTTCCATTTGGACAAATACACTCCAAAACTTGTCAAATCCTTGTCTTTATAGCTCCTTTACAAAGCACTAAGAATGAAAGTCACTACGGTAATTTTTGTTATTGCCCTTCTCCTACTATGAACAGACTGAAAATGGCATCACTCAAGACTGCAGCTAAAAAAAAAAAAAGAAGGAAAAGAAAAGGCAGAAAAGGCAAGGAGGCATTTTCCACTTACTGTCGAACAAAAGAAGAAAGGGACAGAGCAATTAGGAAGTGGAGAAGTTGACCTTAAGCAGTGCTCTTTTCTTAATGGGATAGGAAGTTATTTTCAACAATGTGGAAACCATCATGATCTCACTTTACAAAAAACAAAATTGCAGAACAAAAGATGAAAACAACTTCATGATTCACATATACCCACCTGTGATTTTGTCTCCCACTGCCTCATACGAAGAAGTATCAGTTGAATACGAAAATCCAACTCCCACTGGCGTCTCCAAATACAACATATTCGCTTCTAAAGATCAAAACAATCAAAGAAAGAAACCAAGAAAACAACCCATCAACACCAACACCGACACCCACAAAATCTTCAAATACAAACCCAACGCATTTCATCAAACACGTAGCAGGCATTATAATCCAAACCTGTATTCCAACTGTGTTCATTCCTGATTAGAACCTCCCCTTTAGGCCGAAACGGTCCATTTTCAGAGAATGCCCCAACCCCCAAAGAAGAACACCCAGGACCTGTAAAGAACACATCGAAAACCAATTCACACAAAAGAACAAAAGAAACCCAAATCCCAGAAAATTTAAAAGGGAAATACCTCCATTAAGCCAAAGAACAAGCGGCCTAGAAGCAGAGTTGATTTGAGCTTCAGCAAAATAATAAAACAGAGCCTTCTGATTACGGTCACCCACATTGACATAGCCAGAGTAATGTCGAAATCCAACGAGGGGTTGACCAGGCAACGAAGAAATCTTGTCTAGAAGATAAGGGGAAGGCTCAGATTTAGGAAGAAAGTGGAAGAAAAGCAGAAAAACAAAGGGGAGGATTGCAGACATGGCGAGAGGAAGAAATCAAGAAAATGAGAGAAAGTGGGGAATGGGGGGGGGGGAAGAAGAAGTGGAACGGTATAAAAAGAAGAGGGGGAGTTGTTTTTTGTAATGATGATTATTCGAAAGATTGGGACCCCATTTTTGCAAAGAGTGAGAGAACATGGGGACTGTTCAACTCCAGGTCTCTCTCTCTCTCTCCTCTTCCGCCGTGTCTGTGTGGGAATGGTGCGGACTGCTGTGGGTCTGTTCTTGTGAAAATGACAAGAGAGAATGATATTCAAAAGCCCCTTCGTTTGCATTTGCTTGTAAGTTTGTAACCCAATGAAACAACCAAAAGGAGTACTGTTTTGTTCCTTTGTCCTGTTTTCACTCTTCTCTGTGTGTAATTCCTAAAATTTTTTAAAAAATGTGGCCGTATGTATAGTGATGCTCTTTGTAGCTTCTTTCATTTGAATTCATCTTTCTTGTCTCTATTCTCTCCCTAAATATTCTACCCTTACCACAATTATAGCTTTCTTCTTTTTACTTTCATTTTTTAAATATTGTTCAATCCCATAACGCATCTAAACTCTAGAAACCCCAAGAGACTGACCTTCTTACATTTCAGATCAATTGGGTTAGACCCTGTTACTTGAACACGACCCTCCACACTAGTATGATATACTATTCTTAGGTTAATTCATTGTCCCAAGCAACTTAAATAAACTTCACTGTCCAAGCCTGGATATCTCAATTGGGTTAGCCCCTGCTATTTTTGAGTTCTGTCAATTTATAAATTAACTTCAAATTTTTGATTTTTCAAAAAATTCAACTCAACCCAGATCGAAAAAAATGTGTTTCAAGTTGAGGGTCGAGTTATCGAGTTATCGAGTTAAAAAAAAAAAAAAAAAAAAAAGAAGGGTGGAGTGCAATAATGAGACTTTAGAAATGTACACAAAAGTGTGGTATTAAACCGAGGAAAAAGTATGATACATCATGACACCACACCAAATTTGTCAGCAGTCTCACCCCCTCGCCACCCTCACCCCTTCCCCTCAACATTTTTGCTTTCTTTTTTGTTTTCCCATGTGATTTTTTCCATCATTCTTTCCCTTTTAATTTTTTTTTATTTCTTATTTCCTCAAATTTAATGATTTTAAACATGCAACCTACACTATATATAATTTTAAAAAAACTTAGCTCTTTACTAAACGAAGGTATGTTTCAAGTCTCCTTTACAAATACGATATACATGGCTTCATATAACTTAAAAATGAGACCATAATTAGCCACCATGTAAATATAACCTTACATTTCATAGATCAGAATCTTTCTTAAAGTTCATATTACACGATTAAAATATCTCGATTTATATCATATGTCAAATGAATTAGTAGTCGTTGTTGTTGTTATTATTATTATTATATTTTTTAAAGTGACCCAAAAAGGCCCACCATGTCCCTATTTCCCCTTTATCCTCCTCAATTTCACCCTCCCTCACAATAAATGACAGAAAAGACAGTTGTTCAACTACATCCATTTGTCAACACAAATAATAAGGTATTCTTTGAATTAAACAACACAATTCAAATATTCCTTTAATTTTATTCTTTTCTTTTTAATTTCTTTAATCAAATTTCATAAATGTCTTAACTAACTATGATCAATGGAACATGACTTTCAAGATTTGCTTTCATTATCTTTTCTTTTTTCTTTTTCCATCCTCCACTAATTATCCGCTCAGTAAAAAAATTATGCCCGAGATTTTTTAATAAGTAATATTAATTCTTAACACGTAATGCTACGTAAAACAGGAGAAAACACTATACAAACATACTATGAAGTGTCTATTAAATCCATGCTAGCTCCGAGATCATGCACCAATTTAGCTAATTACCAATTACATATGGTAATAATAAGTTAGGGTTTCTCGAGGTTTCCCTATAACGGAAAAAAAAATGTTACAAAAATATAGTGTTATTTATTTTATTTTATTTTATTTTATTTAATAAAAAAGTACAGGTACAGCTTGCAGCCAAGACCCACCCATTTGATTGTACAAAAAAGGCAAATAAAAAATTAAAAAAAAAAACCCATCAGCTCCTTTAACATAAATCTACTTATTTTGTTCCAAATTTGTAAAATACACATAAATAATAAAAACAAAAAATCTTAATTTAATTTTGTTTATTTTAATATTATATTCAAAGAAAATTTAAAAATATATAAAAAATAATAACAAAAAAAATTTCAACCTTAATCTTTCATTTCCTTCCTAAATTATTATATATATATAATTTTTGTTTTAGTATGAAAATTAATATTATTATTTAACCAATTTCAATAAATAATTATAATAATTTATAGATAGCTAATAAGTGTTAAATTTTTAATTTATAAACCAAAATAAAATAATATTTCACTCAAATTTAAATTTTCGGTGATGGGTCTTTTCACCGTTCATTTAGGAGAGAGTCGAATATAATTAAAATATTGGAAAATAATATATAATCATTATTACAGCCCAATCCAATTATTTCTAATATGTATAAGAGAAAATTCAATTTAAAAGGTTTGATTTAATTTAATTTAATTTAATTTAATTAGATTAATTTATAATATATAAAAATTAAATTACAAGAATTTCATAATTTTTAAAAAATTAATCGATAAAAGTTAAAAAAGGTAAAAGTTGTTGAGAGAGTATGAAATGGAAATGATTTAGACATGAGGGAGTTTGACTGTGGAAAACACTGAATTCAAACTGAGCCATAATAATAATAATAATAATAATAATAATAATAATAATAATAATAATAATAATAAATAAAATAAATAAATAATAATAATAATATTAAAGTAATAATAATAGCGCCTGCAAACTGCAATGCACCAAAATTAATGCATATATATATATATATTTGGCTTTAAAGTGTAAAGCAAAGCTTATAGTAATATTATAATAATTATTATTATGAATTACCAAATAGAAAGATCTATGATGTCTCTTTTTGCCCTTTTTGTGTGAATACAAGTTGTGGAAAGGCTTTGGTGCTTTGCTTTCCTAACAAGTATAATATATATATATATATATGTATATAGTTGCAATTTAATTAAATAGTTTATTTTTAATTTTTGTTTAAAAATTAGTTTTTTAACGGAAGATTCGACCCTCTGCCATTTTAGTTGAGATTGTAATATGTGAGGTCTCACGTTGGTTGAAGAGAAGAACGAAGGATTCCTTAGAAGGGTGTGAAAACTTCTCCCTAGTAGACATTTTTTAAAACCATGAGCTTAATGACGATACGTAATAGGTCAAAAGGATAATATCTATTAGTGGCGGGCTTGAACTGTTACAAATAGTATCAGAGCTAGATATTGGGTGGTGAGACAGTGAGGATGTTGGGGGATTGTGAGATCTCATATTGGTTAGAGAGCGAGAACACTGGGTTATAAAAGGAAGTGGATTGTGAGATCTCACATTAGTTGAAGAGCGAGGACGCTGGGTCCCCAAAGATGGTGGATTGTGAGATCTTACATTGGTTAGAGAGTGAGGATGCTGGGTCTCCAAAGATGGTGAATTATGAGAGGACGTTGGGTCCCCAAAGAGAGTGGATTGTGAGATCCCGCATTGGTTGGAGAGCAAGGACATTGGGTCTCCAAAGACGGTGCATTGTGAGATCGCACGTTGGTTGGACATTGGGTCCCCAAAGAGGGTGAATTGTGAGATCTCACATTTATTGGAGAAAAGAACGAAGTATTTCTTATAAGGGGTATCACGGGGAAGTGTGCCAACAAGGACGTTGAGTCCTAAAGGAGGTGGATTGTGAGATCCCACCTCGGTTGGAGAGTGGAACGAAGTGCCAACAAGGATATTGAGCCTCTGAGGGGTTAGATTGTGAGATCCTACATCGGGTTTATAAGAGTGTGATAACTCTCCCTAACAGACCCATTGTAAAATCATGAGATTGACAGCTATACATAATCGAGTAAAACAGACAATATCTAATAGTAGTGAGCTTAAGTTCTTACAATAAAACCAATACATATGTATACAAAACACTCTCGAGCAGGACTATCACAATGAGAATGTCGTGTTACTCACGAGACGAGTCAGGGGTGGCACAAAAGGAAAAAGCAAAATAATGAGATGAACGAAAATGTGGGGACGGCGTGGTAGAAGATGGGGTCGAATGGGTGCATGATTGGCACTCGAGCATGTTAGAGAAAACCCATTTAAATCCAAGGAGGATACGACATAGAGATACTCAAACATTGGCCCCATCTCCCCCTCCTCCTTTTCTCTTTGTGTGCCCTACCCATCTCATACCAACGCCTTCTACAATGTAATGCGTAAAAGGTGCCCTTTTCTCATCAATTCAGATATATTAGGGGATCCTTGCGACCCTTTAAAAGTACAATATCGTCTATGTGGACCACATATATCTACTCCATTCCATCGCTATAATTAGGTCGGAAACCATAAAATATAAGTGGCACTATAAGTGGTGTAAGTAGCTGGCTCAAACCAAACGTGTCTTATATGTCTCAACATTATTACACCCAGACTAGGTGGTTTGTATGCCAGCCTTTGAAGAAACATACTCGATATTGACTTGGGTACAAAACGTCATAGACGATTACGTTTACGATTATTTTCAAGTAGAAGAGACGAAAAAGTAAACAGATTTTGAACCCTGTTTAAATTTTATCGAAATTTACGCTCAAACCTAATCAGAGCGGTTTTGAAAAATTAAAAAAAAAAAAAGGTAATAATGAAGAGAAACAAAAAGAAAAAGGTGAAGAAGGAGAAGAAGTTTGTGTATTTGTGGTTCCATTTCTTAACTTTACAAAGGTGAAAGTGACATGAATTTTAGCAAATAATAATAATAATAACAACAAGAACATAACTTTTTATTTTTTTTTTATTTTTTTATTTTTTTTAACAAATGATGAATACAAACAAAAGTGTTCAAGTTTGTCTCTTCAATTATATATATACAAAAAGAAAATTAAAAAAAAAAAAATTATTTGGTTTTTAAGATAGGGAGGAAAGTTGCGTGGGCCAATTCTTGGAGACATTTTTAAAAAGTTTTTGGGTTTCTTTTAACTAAATACGCCACCAACTACTCGTTGCTGTGTTGCTCCAATTCAGGGAAGGATTTTTAATGAGAGCGTTTTTTTGAATGTGGGAAAGCGTGATTCTCGCTCGAATGAATTAGCTGAT